AGCAATATTTCTTTAACATTTCAAATTCTGTCTGTTCTTCATAATTCAAATTACTTTCAAACTGAAATAACTTACAATGATAATGAATCAACTAATAAAATCTTTTTCATAAAATCTAATTTCATACCAAATGGTAAGACTTGAAACAATAACTAATGAAATTTTGATGTATTTCATCCAAAACAAAACAGATCTGAATAAATGATTGACTACGATGCTAATCGACAACATACTGTTTTCGAAGTTTGAAAAATTTGATAATTTTAGATTTTACAAATTAACATACAGTTGATAGATTATTTTCATCGTTTCCCATATAAAACTGAAGATGATTGATGCATGCCCGCAAATCACTGTTGTATTGCTTAACTAAAGCAAAACATGCATCAGAAGGCTTTGTTACGTGTAAAAACGTACACAGTTCCTACAAACATTCAGTGGTTAATAATATGAGCAAGAAAAAAAAAGTGCAGTTTTAGAGTTGTTCTTACACAGATTTCGAATTTTTTGTGCAGATTTATAACACTCACCATCAGGTATTCAGTAGCTGTTTGCACACTCAGCCTTGATAAAGTAAAAATTGGAACAGACATTGCGGAAGTTAATTCTTGACGAATAAGACGAATGTCTGAAATACATAAAAAGTTAAAATAGATAGTGCTTAAGCAAATACAAAAATAAAGAAAACAAATGAACCTTCACAGATGACAATAACTGGAGTTCGTGCTTCTTTGCACAAAGTTCTAAGTGCAGGCCAAAATCCATCGTCATATTTTTCATAGAAAACGTCACACTGTAAACAATACGAGGCAAAAAAGGTATTATTAACAAATAAACGTTAGATTGCCAAGATAATTATCTATAAATGAAGATTACGTCGTCAATCAAGATAATCGAGTCTCTGATAGCATTAGTTTCTTCTTTTATCTCAGAAAACATTGAGGAGGTTGCAGCCACTGAAAACTGAAAAAAATTCATCTAGTGACTTCATTGAAATTAGTAGCAAGCAGCATTTTACAGATGTTTAATTGCACGGTTTAAATCGAAGTCAATCTAAAACATAAAAGTTTTGAAGATAACTATAGATAAAAGAACTTTATAGGAATGTGTAGCTCCTAGTAACTTTGACTTGATCTGAAAACCACTTCTTTTTTCATTTGAAGCAAGTTCTAAAACCTGCATCCCACAACTTCTTGCAACAGCATATACCTATAACAAAAACAACAAAACAGATTCCAAACAAACATTTTTAGTGATTAAACTAAAAAAAGTTATCAGGTACCAGCGATGTTTTGCCTGTCCCATACTGACCGCATACAATAGCTGTATTGCATAGCTGCTCTTCTTCGTCCAAATCAAAATGATCACGAGAACTTGAATAAAGCCTTTTGCCGCGATCTCTTTTTTTGTTATCTACAAATAATAAATATTAGCAAAACATTTCTGTAATCAACCACGCCTAATAAGAACAAAAGCATGATTCTAACAAGCATACAAAAACATCATACTCCATTTCATATTTCTTCTTTTTTGTAGGTAGTTTTTCCATTTCCTAATCCATTCACAAAATTCATGTAGACTATTACCATCGGTAATAAATTCATCTACATTTATGGGTCTTAAACCTTCACTCCATATATTATGTTGGAATTCCTGAGTTGATGATCGCCTCTTTAAGTGCATAAATCGTCTTTTTTTTCGACTATAAGTGGATTTTTTTCCAAACAATTATTTAATTAAGCAAAAATTTATTAGAAAATTAACAGTCAAATAAAACAGATAGTAATGTAATTTAAAAAAAAGTCTAACAAACTTTTTAAATTTCGGCGGCTCACATGGATCAAATGTGATATTATTTTTCATCATATTTTCACCATTGTTCATGAATTTTTTGAGCAACTTCAATGGCTCTATATAATCAGTAGATGAAACAAGTGACAACGATGCTTCTCGAAATTTATAAGGAAAGTCGTATTTGACTGGAGCAATATTTGTATATCCAACATGTGATATATCAGGGAAAGGCGTAAAATCCATTTCACTAGCAAAAGCTGTGAAATTCCTTTCTTATTGAAACCGAATTTACAAAAACTCAAAAAAGTTATGTATACATTTTTTTCGAATTTATTACACAGATTTTTAAAAAACTAACAAAAATAATTTTATTGTACTTGCACCTCAACACAGACCGACACATGCAATTTAAATACTGCACTTTTAAATAGTAACCTGCTTTAAATTTATGACTAGAGGTGTGAATCTCAGGTCTATTACTTGTTTTCTGTCTATGATAGTTCTCGATAAGTGCTTCGGATGTCTGTCTGAGATTTTCTGTTCCAATTTTTTCCCGCAACTTGGTCCGTTCATCGTTTGAAGGAAACTGACTATCGCAACATACAACACCAACATCTATGTGATCAGCAGTTGGCTAAACTTTTCGTACAATAATACCAAACAGTTTCAGTGGTGATAACCGTGAAAAAAATTAGTTTCAGCATTACAAATAATTTACTATGTAAAAACCTAACAAAAAATATGAAGTTTAAGCCTAATACAAAATGAACGACTAAATTGATGAGGTAAGCAATCGCATTTGAGTGTATCATAACAGCATTCAACTACGTTCACTTCACACTGCTAATTTATCGGGAGTTATCAAAAAAGGATAGATATTAACCGACCTTACAAAGTAATGATGAATGCTTCTGTCTCTTATGAGTACTTGTAATATTTGTAGGGCAAACTTCCTATATGAAAATGAAATTAAAGAAAGTTTCTCCCTTCAATGAGAAAAAATCATACAAATATTACAATAAGCGTATGTGATCGTACCGAGTACAACTTAAGCCCCAAACAAACCTCATCCTGACACTGCTCTGTTGTTCTTTCAGTAATCACTTGTACATGTACTGGAAGTGATGATGATTTGACAAGCTTTCTCTGACAGCAAGGTGACTGAGAATTACTGATCTTTCCTACATATTAAAAAAAAAAACTAGTATATGAAGCAGATCCAATTCGAGCACTACAAATTTTTTGTTTTGTCATCGCAAGAACACTTGAGAAAACTGATAATAAAACTCATAAACTCGAAACTGGCTTTATATTTGTATTTTTTCTATACTTTCATCCTATGCTCCTTTAGATTACTTGATTAATATGATGATTTATTTACTATGTATTCATGCTACTGTGCTTAGAAACCTATACACGAAAGAGGAATCTTACAACAGCAATATGCAGGACGCATAGTAGTATCAAAAGTAAGATCTCTTGAGCAATAATTTTATTAAATCCATTTAAGTTAAATAATTTCTATTCACTTTTAGTGGATAGAAATAAGCTGTCTAAAAATCTCCAACCTGATTCGCAAGACAACTGTTTCTCGTCCAATGCATCAAAAGCTCCCACTTTCACCTCGCTTTCATTTACAACTTGCTGTTGATGTATTTCAAGCATGTCTGTGCCATGCATAATGTTGTTTTTTTGGTCGGGTATACTGTTAAGCCATTGCTTAACTCTAGAATAAAAGTTTGAAAAAATATCTACTTCAAGGAAATAGGCTAATCTATTTTATATAGAAGTGAAAAAAAACTTTATAAATTGTGAAATTTCTTGCCATGCGATATTATTTATAAGTACTCATACAAAATATGAACTTACTTTGACAATGGTCCAGCGCAAGGAGCGAGGGGAACACGGCTTTTTATAAGCGAAATCGAACTAATATACGGTTCATCTTTAACATCACCACTTTCGTTTGACGCACATGTGCTCAAATTCTCTTTGTTTTCTTCTTCCTTCTACAAAGCTTTAATCACAGTTGTATTTTTATGCAACTGACAACAAATTATTTTCAATTCAATCATGAAGTAAGCCCTGATGGACCTAAATACGCATTAAGTATGTTCGAGAATGTCGATCAGATTATAAGAACTAGGTGAAGAAAAGAAAAGCTAGAAATCAAGAGGGTAAGAAGAGTAAAAAAATAAAAAGACTAAAAATTCAAATTTTATTGAAGAGACAAAACGGCTAACGTTTTCCACGAATTCGCTCCGATTTCGCAACCGACCTCCACGTACCCATACTACAATTGGATCCTGGAATTCATTAGCATGCTCCAAATTTGAAATATTAACAAAAATTAAAATGCAGTTGAATTTCAAATAAACGATACTTTATATCAACATTTTTATAGGATAAATATTAGTCTTAAAGCGAGGAAAAATAGTATTAATATTCACCTGCAAATGCCATCTAACAAATAGAAAAATATGAGCAATAATTCTCGAGTTTGAAGAACAGAAAAATTTTCATGTGAAGCATTAAATTTTCCTAAACTTTGAAAAATACTTGCACGAAACTTACACGCTGTTTCGTCCTTTTCGGCCTCCCTGCTATTTTTGTTAAACTAGGTTTTTCAGCATGGACTGCGATCTTTGTCTCAATATTCATATTTTCAGCATCACTGGGTGCCAATATATTAATACCTTAAATGAAGCAAATAAAGACTAAAAATATATGCAAACATACATTGAATACAAATATCTGTTAAATATAACTTTATAAGAGCAATAAAAACTTTTTACTCATGACGGTTTCATCAGGTACTCGACCTTCGTTTTGATCATCTCCAATTATTATATCTTCAGGACTCACTTCTTCGTTACTCCTACATTCGAAAACCTCAGTCTCAACTGGTAAAAATCTGACTCCCTCACATGGAGAGATCATAATTGATTCTTCCTCAGACATACTAACTGTTTGATTCAATATAATTTCAGGTTCATCGAGCGCTATACAGTCACCAGCGAACTAAAATGTTTATTACTTAAAAATATAAACCAAAAGTTCTGCCTTCCAAATTAACAATCCAGTTGTATAAAATAGAGGTTGCTGATTTAAAAAGAAAAGCAAATACTTCTTAATCTACAAGTTTACAACGCAGAAAAGTTTTGTACAGCAAATTTTGATTTTAATCTACCATTTTCCCCAAAACTGCCCTTGGATAAATATTAGCAGTAGTCTTCGTACAGGACAAAATTGATAAAATTAACAAAATACAAAATTCAGAAAAACGAATTCAGGAAAACAAATCCAACATTAAAAAATGATTACTTTATTAGCTGCATCTTTTGTAGTAATCGGAGGTGAGTTTGGCATTTTCACAACTCCTGGAATCTTTTCAGAACGTGGAGTGATATGACATATATTGGTTTCGGAACAAAAACGAACATGTTGGGTTCTCCACTTTTTTACTTTGCAAACAATACTTCGGGTTGCTCTTTGATTAGAATTCAATAAGATAGGCTTCAATGACATGGGTGGAGGTTCACAAATGATCTACAAACAAATATAATGGATCAAATTAATCTGCATAACAAACAAAAAAAAAAGAAAAAGCTTAACAAAAAAGTAGTAGAAAATCGGGACACATATAAACAGATAAATGATAAAACGAAAGGTGATTCAGACAATTCATAGCTGTAAGATTTTTCAATGTTGACATTACAACCTATGAAGA